TCAAGGCCACGTGTGTCAATTTATATCGGATGACATTTTTTTTCTGATTTGTAAGCTGCCAAACACAGTGTAAGCAAAATGGGTGAAATCCCTTTTCTTCTACCAAGGGACAGCCTGTATTTCACACTTTATGTTAACTCACAGAACAATGGAGATAGTGAATGACATAAATCAGAAGGTGAAGCATAAAATGCATACCAGGAATTTGTGTTGAAAGCTTTTGCTTTAAAAGCATTCAAAATATTAGCTAAGCAACACTACACACTACGTATGCACAGCAAAGTTTTAGTAGAAAAATTGCATTACAACAGTACAGTCATTGAATAATCACTCGTATATGCATGCTCACATTCTGACTGTGCAGATAGTCAAGCATTTGGTTTGGAAACTTTAAATCTTAGAGAAAAAGGGATTATCATCATCCCTGCTTCACCTGTCTACAGCATTCACCGTCTAAATGGTACCTAATGCTGTGCCTGCATTTAGTGACCCTCAACTACAAGACTGAGCCAAGAGAGTTTCTGCATCTCATGCACACCTCTTTTGACAGTTGTACAGACATTTGATTCATTTGGTTTCCTTTTTCCCTTGCTGATGACTTCCTCCTTTTTTCTCCAGCCATCACTTCCCAAATCCTATTCTCTCTGCACATCATGAAACCTTGTTTCATCTTTCTAACTCCTGTAGTGGCATAATCTCATTGACAAACACAGTGTTAGTTATCACCTTAAAGAAAAGCATAACCCTAGAAAATGTCTAACTTGCCTAATTTACCTAATTTGAGGCAAAAGAAACTCCAGCTCACAGGGTAGACATCACTCAGTCTTGATTCCCTTTTTCATCAGAAAAGCCAGTTTCCAGATAATGATCAGCATAAAGCCAACAGGGTAAACTTCTGTGAAGTACCCTAAAGCAGCATTTTTTCCATTACCATTTTTCTCCTCACAATTAGCCCTAAGACCACCCCCAGAGGCTCAAGCAGACTCCCAGCTTCAGTATGAGCACAACTTCGGCAAAGTTCGTGCAGGCTGAGGAAGGGTAAAGGCAGACAACAGCATAGATCATCTGCTTCACCCCAACAATCAGTTGTTGAGGGTGGTGGTGTTCTGGCTGGTTCAGGGACTGTATTCTACACCTGCCGTGAACCAGGTTCTTTGTGTTAAGCTTTGCAGGCCTTGTCATTAAATCTGCCCCAGGGCACCCAAGGTAATTTTGGATTTTGGCCAAACTCAGTATGCCCACCACACAGTTGCATAGATACAGATATTTAGTGGCATTTGAGATGTCATAAAGGTATCCCAGAAACCACTGGAAATAGAACAGTGTGACACAGGACCTATAGGAGACTCATGTCCTTCTGGGTTGGCAGGTGGAGCCATGCAGTTTGTATTCAGCAAACTGAATTGATTATGAAGTCACACTTTCTATGGACAGCACTGCCCAACACCAACAAGATTTCAAAACGTGAATTTTTGAAAGGGACAACTTGCTCTTTGATCACCACCCCTGTGATGACTAGGCTAGTGTTTGAACCACATGCTTTCATCATATGGAAGCCAATCACCAGCTCTAACCACGCTTCCCTCTCCATCGCCTTTTGCCTTTTGATAATCCTCTTGCCAAAGATGCACACCAGGAGTGTCCTATCTTCCTGTTCCTTCCTTGGCTCACCCAAGCCTAGGTCCCCTCCTCTTACAACTGACAAGAGGTAGTTTTTCTCACAGTCTGAAGGACCATAAGCCAAATAATTCCTCAGGGCAGAGGAAGGAGTTTAGGGTGCCATTTTGATGTTAAAAAGAAGAATGAGATCAGTCAGAACAAACCACTGGATGGCTGACTTGGAAGTAATCCCACTCTGGCTGTAGAGGAGAGACTGTACTTTCCATTTGCAGATGTAGGTCATTAAGATTATGAAGCACCCTGCCCTGGATTACTGCAACTCCAGGATATTTGCCTGACTGGAAAATGTCCGAGAAGGATTCTCACTCCACAGTCAGAAAGTTTGTTAATTAAGAAGGCTTTCCTGATCAAGTTCTACATATCCCTCAGACATGGAGGCTCATAATAATGTCCAAACTTTTCCCAATGGTGTCTCAACCTGATGAGTATTTGTAGGGAGCATCATTTTAAGCAAAACATAACTCAGTGACAGACACCTCCAGCATGGGTTTATGTGTTTACTTACCATCATTCTACAGCCCTGCACTTGCTCAAGACTTTTGCTGTGATGCTAGCACTCTAAAATGAGTATACTCTTCAATCTTGCTTGAGTATAATGCTCTGTAACAAGGACCACATCAGTAGATGTTTTAAAGAAACTGGGGAAAATGTCAGATGCTGCATCTGGAAGCAATGCCCTACATGGGGAGCCAAGTAACACTCATGCTGCTTTTCGAGAAGGAATGCCTGATGGCAGGTAATGAGGCTTGGACAGGACAAGGGGCAGATATCATCTGTGGCTCTGAGCATATCCCAGAACACCACAGGAAGCGTGTCTTGGCAAGCAGCTGGATTTTCACATGATGAACTAGAAAGAGTGGTTAAGGATTTTAGTAGTAGTAATAACTTTGTTACTCTTTTTATATGAAACCAAATGCCAGGTATAGCAGTGACGCATTTTGTATTAGTAAATAATCTTTTTGTCAGTTTGATACCATTAACAATCCAAGATTATACTGACACAAAACACATTTGACAGAGTTACATCTTATGACTGTTCAGCAACTAAAGCTCAATATAGAAGTCAGCTGTGTGGCTGGTAAGTAGGTCATCTGTTGGGAACAGATGTGCTCTTTCATCTGCACTGCTTGCCAGCTGGCTTTGAAGTATAATGCCCTAAATGTTCTACTTTGCCAGCTAAGAGAGAGTGTGATAACACAAAGGGGTTAGGAATCCTTCGCTGATTATTCTCCAAAGGTTTCCTTAACCTGGAATTCAGTTCCCACTCTTTTACCTTAAGTAATCCTGATGTGTTGACTTCTAGTCCACAGAAGGCTGATCTGTTCATCCAGATTTGGGATAGGGATGAAGGCAAGGGAATCTGTCTAATGATAATTTGAGAATCATTTGGTTCTGCCTATGTACTATGGTATTCACTTCTAGACCAAACTTTTTCTTTTTTTGAAGCTAAGACTCTTTGTTTAGCAATTTAAATTTACCACAAAGCAGTTAGTGCCAAGACTGGCAGAAAGGTGCCTTTATGTGTGTTCCTAAACATACAGGATGAAAATACCCACACTGCATTTGTTTAAAAGAATATTAAACAAACATCTTGCTCAGCTGTGCACATTTGAAATGACATAATTCAGGACCTCAGAGTCAGACACACCTGCTTTCAATGTAGAAACACATTTGAAACTAAGAAAGTCGTGATTTCCCCCCATTTTGTGGGACTCATTCTTAAACTTTAATAGGCTCTACAAGTGTTAATTCTTGCATTTATACTTATTTTTTACTTAAATTCATGATACAGGAAAAATGAGACAAAGAAAGGAAGAGTTGATTAGGGATACACAACATCCTCTTGCCCCCTTCCAGTTTAATCCTTACTTGCTCGTGACATTAACGCTAGCAGAAAACACCTAGGACTTCAGGAGAAATGGATCATACTTTCTTCTTCAATTTCTAAAGCAAACAAGGAATGACCAGTGATGGCCTTGGACAATGCAGTTAAAAAGAGTGGCAATTCCAGACACAGCACAGTGCAGTTACACCTTCTCTATAGAAAAATGAAGTTGAGCATGCAGTCCCTGCAGGATCACTGCAAAGCCCTTCTCAGCTATCTGAAAAAAGACCCACCCATTTCCAAGCATTAGCCGATAAAGGATGGCTAACTCTTGATGCATACACAAACCCAGGAGATTATCATTTCTCCTTTACTGCATGCAAGGCTGTTCATTGCTTTGCACCCAAATTAAGGGTTTCTTCCTTCACACATTCTGCAAACCTTTCGATTACAGCAGGCAAAAAGAGGGAAGGGTTTATTCCTGCACACATTAATCAAAAGGGGATAAATAGAAAATACTGAAGCCTCAAAACCAAACAAAAAACCACAAACAAAAGCAAAACAAACAAACAAACAAACAAACCAAAACAATCCTCCCCTCCCCCATCCCCCCCCAAAAACCAATGAAAATCCAAACCCAAACATATATGTGCATTTTGGATAGAAGACTACAGTTACCTTCAAACACAAGGGCAATGTATGCAGAAATGCATCCAGTAAACCATTCTTGTTCCCTTAAGTATCATGTGTCTGATTAAACAGCAGAATGGACCTGTGTCAAGTAAAGTCAAATATCTGCTTACCTATCATCTTTATCACAGTCTTACAACTGTTTAAGTTTTACCACATTTTAACTGCAGCACAAGGAATTGTGGGGAGTGCTGGCAAAGTGTAACTGAAACCTTAATGTATTTATGAAAGTGTACAGATTAATTAGAATGCTTCAAATTCTTACTGGACAGTGATAGCTCTCCAAATTCTCTATCTAAAGAGAGATGCAGCAACGGCACATATAAGCATCCTTATGTATATCACACATCAACACAAACAGCTTTTTTATAACAGTACAATGTGACAGTAGTATGTGGCTATTTGCTCCCAGCTCAAAAATCACTTCGCATTCGTTTTTTGTAAGGAGGTTTCAGCTCTTAGACATGGGCCTCTATTGTTTTTCACTAATTGGAGGTGTGTAACCTAAAGCAAACTGGTAATACTGAATTTAAAAAACCCCAGAATTTTCTGTCCACTTGGTAACAACTCTAAATGACAACAAATCCGCAAGGCATTCCATACTGGGTTTAGCGCCACTGTTGATACTTAGTTCTCCAGAAATATCAAAATGTCAAGGGCCTGCCTATATGACAAACTCAATACAAAATGAGTTTAAATAGGATGAGATCACTTTGTTCTCCCCTTTAATGGCACGTGGCCTTACTGTAAGCAGAGGAGCTGGAAGACACAGAACGCAGTTAAGTGCCAAAGCCAAAAACCTTACCTCTACCTGCACCTGGACATTGTCAGGTTTGTTTTCAGCAAATGAACTTTTCCTGGTCTGTCCTCTCCTGTGGCCAAACTTGCATTTGTTCCTCAGGACTTGCTCATCATCTTCAATGGGTCTCCGCACATACTTGAAACGATCTTTAAGGGCCCGTTTCCACAGCAACTGCATGGGAAAAAATAGCATGTCATTACCAGCATCTTTGAAAGATTTGTCCCACTCCTAAAGCAGGTCACTTTGTTTTATCTAACTCTACTTCATAAAAAAGCATTTGCCACTAAGCAGAAAAAGACTCGTTAGGGTGGCATCAGCGTACTGTGGCTTCAGGACTGAAGGAAACACAAGCACCTGTGGTATATGACTATGGCAACTAAACAGCAGGGCTGCTGGCACCACCGTGGTTTGTTAAGGATGATGGTAATTGAACCTAAGAGTTAGATTTATCCAATATAACCAGGTCTGACGGTGAAACTGCAGTTTGCTTTCTTTTTCTTAGCTCTTTCTTTGGGATGCTCCATTCATGACATGAGGCCATGAAACTACACAGTGAATTGGATCAGCTCACTGATGCCACAGAAAACTAATGGGTTTTTTTTTTGAGTGGATTATTTTTCCTCTTCCTTTGACAGCATCTGCCTGGTTGTGCAGTTGTAAGATTATCTAACACAAGGGAGCAGGAAAGACACAGTGGGATGCTTCTGTTTGCAGAGAGCCTACAGTTGCACTGGACCAAATGTATTACTAAACAGAACTTAAAATTTCTGAATTAAAAGGATTGTTAAAGTAGGTTCTAGTGTTTGTGAGACTCCTCAGACATATAAATTGCAACTTAAAGGCAGTTCTGCACTGCAAGTATGTGCAGTCCCTGTTTAATGGAGCCATTCATCACTCTCTGGCACCTGAAGATGGAGTTTATGTGGTCCCACTGCTTCTATCACACTTGTGTCATTTTTCTACTTGGGTACTGAAAAGTTCTGAAAACTGGATGAACAGCAACTACCTTGTGCATCCTTATAGACAGACACCTGGTTACCTGCATTCCCTGGCTGGGCATCCTGTGGTGGGACCCAGATGTGATAACTACCAACACATGGGGAAGAAATTACCAAGCAAAGACTGTTAAACATGTCTGCATACAAAACCTGCAGTTGTGAATATTGAAAATGTTTCATCAGCTACTCAAAAGCAACTGCTTATTCCAGTCATTGAGGGACTTTCAGCAGTAGGAGGGAACAAAAATTAGTCAGGGAAGTGACTGAAAATGACAGGACGTGGCAGGAGAGATTCAAACAGCTGTTACCTCATTTTCTAAAATTGACTCCAATACCATACTCACTTAATACTACACTCAAGCCTGTGCTCACTGACATGCTGAAACAAATATAAACAGAAGAATTATCCCAAATTTCTTACCAGTATCATGATCTTTATTAGTAAAGGTCATATGATTTTAAGGGTTGACTTAGGTGTAAACCAGAATTCAGCAAAAGAAGTACAGTCTTTCTTTGTAGCGAGTCCGACATAACCACCTTTCTCACCCACACGATATGGCTGGGAGGGTCTTTTAACAGACAGTGGTGAAGGCAGCATGACCTTGTCTTTCTCCTGCT